CCCCTCATCGATATTGATACTGATCCCCCGTCTCTTTAGTGTAATGAGAGAGGTACTGCTGTTTCCTCGGGACAGGCACCACTGAATATTTTTTTTCAGTTATACTCTGCCCGAAGACAAAGATACAACTGATAGATGGAATGTAGTTTATCCGCGGCGAAGACTGATACTGCGGAAGGTGGAGAAGAAGTGGCGACCTAGATAAAAGTGCCATTTTTCAGACGCACCGTATCGAACGACGAAATCGAATAAGCAATCGCCAAAAATTCAATTACCATAAATTGAATAAGATAACATCGTCCGCTGAATTATTTTAAAATCATTTTTAAGAGAAATGTTCGTAAGACGGGAAGTTGGCTTTAAAAAGAATAAAAGGAAGATTAACGTCTCTTGCTGATACCTCATAAATAATGGACTATTGCACTATTATGGTGTTGATCACATGGAAAGAGGTGTAAAGACACTACTTGGTTTCAGTGATAAAAAGAAAGAAAGAAAGAAAGAAAGAAAGAAAGAAGAGTTTAACGACTGTTTCAGTGAAATGGATAAAATATGTCAGTTTCAAATCTTTTCATTTGTACCCCTTACTTCTTAAACAAATGAGCAACCTTCATATTTATGATTATTATTGTAATATTTTGTTAAAGTTGTTAAGCTGAAATATTTAGTGATGTGATAGGGAATTTTTACAACTATTTTATTGTCGTAGAATTCGTCATGAGCTTATTCAATCATTAACTGAAGAATTAAGATTCATCAGAAAATAAACAGATCGTGACATCTATGAGAGAGAGAGATAAAATTAACATTTTTATTATTGCATTATTACAAAATTTTAACACATCAACAAATAGCTATTAATGCCAACAACGGAGCAAAAATAGTCATTAATAAGAAAAACTAGTAATTAATTTATAATATTATCTTTAACTACATGTACAAGACTGTCGTTTTTGATAAAAGTTAAAAAATAACTATAAATACGTAAAAATTGCGTATATTATAGAAAATCTTTTCCCACAATATAGCTATTTGTGTTCATATAATGCTTATTACGTAAACAATAATAATACTGAATATTTTTATTTAAATTAAAGTATTTTTGATCACATCTCTCTGTCGCAATCTGTAAAATTTAAAATGGAAACTAAAAATCGATTTTTCTACAGCATTATTCCAATATTTCCTATGAAGCTAAATAAATATCGAAACTTGTACTATCAAACGGAAGAGACGATAAAATAATTCAAGGTGTAGTTTTCTACCATTTAACCTTGGTTTTATCTTGATTGGCTGACTCATAAAACCTAGCGGTAAAATATATAATTACTTTCCGGAAACACACACACACATATATGTAGAAATCCATGTAAAATGAGAATGAATTATTTACTAACACCTGATAAAATGTGCTAATACGCATCGAAACATGATTGCATTTGTGAAGCTTCTTTCTTTTTTTTACATGTTTTTCATGTAATATATAAATTATATATATATATATATATATATATATATATATATTGCATAACGGACCTGTGCGTGAGGATTTTGTAGTGAGAAGACCCTTGCACGGGGACAATCCCACTCTGTCGGCCTGGGAAGCCTGTAAACCAGTGGCATGGGGAACCGTTAAGACGAAGGACTGTCAGGCTGCAGTGGATGACCAGGACTTCTTCAAGTGTCACGTCCATTTTCTAGGGCGCTCCACAACACTTGCTGACTCCTGGCCAAACAAGCGGAAGAGATCACCATGGTCGATTTGTCAGGAAGGAGACTTCAAATACATAGATAAAGCCCTATGTAAAGTGTGGACTGTACTTGTCAGAACAATTTTTGGATCTCTTTGAGGCATGGACTTCCAGGAATCCCTTCAATTAGTCTACTGCAATCTTTTCCAACCAATCCTAGGGCTCCAACTACAACAGGGATTGTTGATGTTCCCATGTACCATATTCTTGAGATTTCTAATTCAAGGTCCTTGTATTTTGACAGCTTTTTGAATATCTTCAAAGATACATTGCAGTTAGCAGGGACTGCCATATCAATAAGGAGACACTTTTTTATTTGTGGTCTCTAAGAACAATATCTGGGCGGTTGGCTTTGATTGTTCTGTCAGTGTGTATTGTGCAGTCCCATAGAATTGTATCAGGTCCTATCTCCGTAACCGGGTCTGGGTGGTGTTCATACCAGTTTCTTTCAGTTTCCTTCCCGTAGAAGTTGCAGATTTTACAGTGCAGATATTGGTCCACTCTGTCATGTCGGGTTTTATATTCAGTGGGTGCCAATATCGTGCAACCTGATATAAGATGATCACTCGTTTCTGGATATTTATCACAGAATCTGCATTTTGGGCTGACACAATATTTTAGTATATGTGCTTGATAATTCCTAGTTAAGCATTGGTCCTGTGCAGCAAGAATAAAACTTGCAGTTTCAACTTTCAACCCTGCACTACGTAGCGACTGTGCCTTTTCCAGTTGTCTGTTGATCCAGAAATTTCGGCAGAATTCCTTACTTGATCGACAGAGATGGATTGTACTGTCAAATTGTACATGTCAAATGAGATAGTGTGTGTGTGTGTGTGTGTGGCTCAAGAGTACTTTTCCATTCAGATAATGCGAGGTCTTCTTGAATTCTCATATATATACACACACACACACACACATATATATATATATATATATATATATATATATATATATATATATATATATATATATATATATATATATATACTTTCTTTTAATCGATCTCAAAATATTCTAGTAACAATTTTGTAAACTAAAAGATATTTTTATTTCACTGAAGCAAAAAAAATTAAAACTTCGAACATTTTCAATTCGCATTCACTCCTAAACACGGAACAATTTTAGAAGCAATGGATAAATTTTGCTCTACAGAAGGATGCTGAGAATATCATGAACCGGATATGTGAGTAACGACGTTCCGCAGAGAATAGCAACAAAAATTTATTATGCTTAACATGAGGAAGATATAGTTGAAATTACTTGAACACGCAATGAAGAAAGAAAATTAGATTCTCACAGGAGAGATTGAATGTTTGACAGCCAGAGAGAAGTCACGAAAACATACCTAGAGAGCTTCATCGAATGGATGGCGGTGTAGGATTTTAGAGAGATGTATAAAGGATAGGAAATTGTGGAGAGCTATGATCGTCAACGTCCTGAAGGTATACGAGACATAGAGGAAGAAGAGTCGCTGAAAATAGACATTATTCAAACTCATCTGGAGATAGGGCTGAAACCAATTCTTAAAAGACAATCTGTGGCGCTCACACCTTCGGCTTAGAGGCAACTATCATGGCTGCCCCAAATAGTTGACATTCTTTACGGAGGTCAAGAAAAATTGTTTATTTAGAAACCAACAAATGTTGATGTTTACCAGA